CAATGTCCATAGCCAAGAAACCATGACTATCTGTTGATCACAACGAGCTAGTCAACTAGAGGCTCACTAGGGACATATTGTGGTCTATGTATTCACACGTGTATTACAATTTCCGGATAATACAGTTACGACATGAATAAAAGACTATTATCATGAACAAAGAAATATAATAATAACACTTTTATTATTGCCTCTAGGACATATTTCCAACAGAAATATCGTTGGGACAATCGGAAGTAAACTTTAAACATGGATTATCTCCGATGTCCCATAAATATTGGGAAACAATCTTCGGTACTGAATTGGAAGCCAATCTGATATAATATTTTTTGTTTGGACATCGTGCATGTCAAAATAAATCATAATCAGACCCTCCAAGTACCATTACAATATATGCTTCGTTGTTCTTATGTAGGAAAATAGATATCACAGTTTGACAACAATCCAAAAGAACAATCAGTAAACATTCATCGTTAGATGGCGCAAACAATTAGAACATTCATTCATCTATGAACATAGCAGTAGAAGGCATGTCAAAAACTAATAAACGAATCATGAGGATAAGCTTGTTGTAAAAGAGCAAGATAGTTGAGTATGATTAGGATGGGTCAACAGAGCAAAATAATTACCTGATACAAATCAGATGCCAGGGGACTTGAAAGTTCACCTGTACCTTAGTAGAAACAGTTGTGCATGAAGCAAAACTCAACAACAATTCATGCAAGGTTAATTTGTCAGATATAATCGGGGATTCAAATAGTTACCTGCTCTCGAGGTCCTGGGCACTGCCGAAGGAAATAAAATAGACCCAGGAGCGTTGAAGCTTCAGCCAGAGAGCGCGTACACAACGACCTGGAGGCACATCGTCATGAAGCGCTTTGCTGGTTCTCGGGAAACCTTTGGATCAACGCCACCTCCTAATTCATCCTGTCCAAAACAGTTGTGGTGGAGGCATGGGGGCTGTACGATGGATGTTGATGACGCGGCTTCAAATTCTTAACTCCATGACATTATTTTCCTGCAGCAAAAGATAACCTGGCTAAACCTCTCAAGCAGGGGTGCTAGTTATAGTGTTCCTTACTTGAGAAGATGAAGATTAACTCCATCCCGTTACTTAGTGGAGAAGATGAAAGACGAGTTGGCGTATAGAATACCAAGAGAGATTGATAAAGCAATCTGTTCGGTGGAGAGTAATTGGGGTAGACGGACAGACTGACAACTACGTATTGTTTTCCCATGGGCTTCTAGTTTGTTCCAGCAAAATAAAGTATCCAGCTATATAACACCCATAGGCTGAAACGTCTAAATATGTAGCTATAGGGCCCACTACTTGGCCCCGCAGCCTAAACCTAGATAAAAATATCAGAAACGGCTTCCGTACAGCCCATATGGGGATGCAGTGAGACGCAACCTAAGTTTTGACGCATGGGAGGAAAAAAGGAAGACGTGGAAGGAGTTGATTTTTTCCCCTTAGACTAGCCACAATGGAGAGTAACATACACTAGTAACATACATATATCCCTAGACTATGTTACTATTTCAATAATGGGTAGTAACATAAGTGTGGTAACATACAAAGCTTCATTTATTAGGTTATAGACTCATATTGCATTAGGACATGTGATGTTACAGTAACTAGCTAAGTTACTAGTACTATATCTCTCCTCATTAACTCATTGCCACATAAGCAAATTTGCTGAGTTGGACTCGATGTTACTACCGAAGTTACTCCCACTATGGCTAGTCTTAGGCTTTGTTCGGTTACACCCTGCCCTAAGAGGATTGGAGGGGATTTGGGGGGGGGGATTTGACTTGTAGAGGATTTAATTCACCTCAATCCCTGTCAAAAACCCCCACAACCCTGTCAACCGAACATGGCCTTAGGTGGCATGTGTGGGACATGGGTGATGATGTGGATAGGCTGCATGTCAAGAGAATTAGATAGTGGGGATGAACTATTTAGGTATTATAGATTTTGTAGTGCATCCGTACATTTGTAGTGCTCTAATATATTTCTTTCTATTTTAGCTTGTACTCTTTTACATCTTTGGGATGGAAGGTTTTAATGGGGCAAGCGATAATAAAACTTTAGATTTATCCTACATAATACTTTAATTTTTTGTATTTTTCTATATTTTTTAGACTTTTTTTTATGTACAGAGGGGAAAAACGCGCCAGCCGAGGTAAATATGCGCCAGGCGGCCCAGCATGCCATAACGGGCCGGCGTGCCTAGGCGTGCCGCGTGCAGGCACAGATAGGCTGCGTGATGTGCCTGGGCTGCGAGCCCCCACCCGTGGGCCGGCCCGGCACGGCCCGGCTAATAATCATGCCGTGGCGGGCCAGGCACGATTGCCGGGCTGGGCCGGCCAGTTTGGCCAGGTATGCTCGTGACCCACCTCCCGGGCTTCGACAGCGCCCTCCCATCCAAACACTACGCCGTGTACATAACCGTGGACGAGAGCAATGGCAGGAGGCTGTTCTACTACCTGGTGCTGTCGGAGCGTGATCCGGCCTTCGACCCCGTCGTGCTCTGGCTCAACGGCGCCCCGGCTGCTCCAGCTTCGACGGATTCGTCTACGAGAACGGTCTGGATTGATCTTATTCTTACCTTTCGTCCGGACCGGCAGTTTCTTTGTTATCATCTTGTGATTTTGGCTGGGATGACCCGACCGGTGCCCTGTTCTTTGCTCAGGTCCCTTCAACTTTGAGCGCGGAAGCACCCCCGGAGGGCTGCCCAAGCTGCAGCTCAATCCCTATTACCCTATAGTTGGTCAAAGGTAATCCGCATACCTGAACACAGGCCTACCCCGCAGCAGCCTGCCCAGAATTTAGGAGTACTAATCTTGTTCAGCTCTACCAAATTGTCATAGAACGAGCAGTATTTTTTCCATGCCAAGTGATTGAATAAATGTGTCATTAAACTAACTATTCCCTCCGTCCCATAATGTAAGACGTCTTTTGACAATAGTGTAGTGTCAAAAAACGTTTTACATTATGGGACGGAGGGAGTAGGTTTCAAGCATGATGTACCTGGACTCCCCTGCCGGTATTGGGATGTCATACTCATTGAACAAATCGGATTACACAACAGGAGACCTGAAAACCGCATCCGATGCGCATACCTTCCTTTTGAAGGTAACAATCTCTGCTTCAGTTGTGATAATTTACACGACATAATTCAAGAAACTGGATGCTGATTTTACTCGTTGTTGCAGTGGTTCGAGTTATACCCGGAGTTTCAGTTGAACCCATTCTACATTTCCGGAGAGTCATACGCAGGGATATACATTCCTACACTAGCTGATGAAGTTGTTAAAGGTAGATTTTGTCACTCACAGTGAGTAGATTATTCATGGTTGAGATCAGAAGTTTCTCACATGTCATCTTTACGTCGTTACAGGGACAACAGAAGGCTCTGAAGCCAAGAATCAATTTGAAGGTCATTCCCACTGACATTTTATTCATCGCCATTCAGTTGTGCATGCGAAGTTGTGTGTGTGAGCTTACGGTCTGAGGTTAATGTTTGCATCCAGGGGTGGCGGTTGCAAGCGAGCCCCCACCCGTGGGCCGGCCCGGCACGGCCCGGCTAATAATCATGCCATGGCGGGCCGTGGCGGGCCAGGCACGATTGCCGGGCCGGGCCGGCCAGTTTGGCCAGGTATGCTCGTGACCCACCTCCCGGGCTTCGACAGCGCCCTCCCATCCAAACACTACGCCGGGTACATAACCGTGGACGAGAGCAATGGAGGAGGCTGTTCTACTGCCTGGTGCTGTCGGAGCGTGATCCGGCCTTCGACCCCGTCGTGCTCTGGCTCAACGGCGCCCCGGCTGCTCCAGCTTCGACGGATTCGTCTACGAGAACGGTCTGGATTGATCTTATTCTTACCTTTCGTCCGGGCCGGCAGTTTCTTTGTTATCATCTTGTGATTTTGGCCGGGATGGCCCGAACGGTGCCCTGTTCTTTGCTCAGATCCCTTCAACTTTGAGCGCCGAAGCACCCCCGGAGCAACCGACGCAGACTACGTGAAGAACTCCTTTGTGCCATCCAGCGCGATTTGAACTCCTTTGTGCCGTTTGCACTTGGGATGGGTCTCATATCAACCGACTTGTTTGAGGTGTTTCGCTTTGTCTTGTTTCTGCATAATTGCCGGTGCCACAAGTAGTTTCTTCTGTAAACAGATAGCAAGCTAACGATGATTTGACTGTTTGCCCTGTTTCAGGATGTCAGTGCTGCTTGCCACGGCACATTCTGGGGAAAAGTTAATGATGTGTGCCAAGAAAATATAGATAGAGTCCGTTGGGTAATGTCCATGTACCAGAACCTGTAAACCGACAAGCAAATACGCAACCTTCCAAATACTGTAAGGCCTCAATTTGTGTTGTCATCTGCAGGAACTGAAAGACCTGAACACGTACAACATTCTTGCACCATGCTACCACCACCCTGAAGTCCAAGAGATAGCGTTCGTGAACAGCAGCTTGCCATCAAGCTTCAGAAAGCTAGGTGAAACAGAGAGGCCTTTCCCAGTGAGGAAGAGGATGGCGGGGCTTTCATGGCCTCTCGGTCTTCCTGTGAGCAGCGGACATGTCACGTTGTGACCCGAGCTTGGTGGTAGATCACTTCCATGCACGGTATGAAAATTATATCAATGTCCTTATAGTTATATGTAGATCATTTACAATTTGTTGTTTACATTTTCGATACACATACATCATTTCATAAGTCCTCTCATTTATAACAATTATATGTCCTCACAGAGTGATGAACTTGCTACTATATGGCTGGATGATGAAGATGTAAGAGGTGCCATTCACGCCAAACCGGTATGATGGTTGATGCGAGACAAATTAGTGTGAATTTAATCCTAAAATTGGCACAAATTAACTAACTCTTGTTTGTCGGGAATAACCTCGATCGAAATTGGCACATCAGAAAAGCTTAATTGGATCATGGGAATTGAATACTACAAGAATAGACTACACTCATGATACAGGCAGCATGGTGGATTATCAAAAAAAATTCACAGCCATGGGATATCGCGTACTTATTTACAGGTATGGGGCACACCTGCAACTTGATCATTTGACAATGTTAACACTGAGTAACTTATTTCCTGCAAAAGAAGACATCGATTAATATATGGAATCAACTTAGGGTGAAGGTTCAGTAGAGAACATGTTGAACTACTAGGAAATAATACATTTAATTGTCCAATCAAAACTGACTTTTTTCTAATAAAGCAAAACTAGCAGATTGGTTGTGCATAATACATTTTCTGTGGTTATTGCTTAAGAACGGAAGGGGAAAAAAATCATATTTGAATAGGATAGCGAAGCACAAGTCTCGTCTCACATCGTACCAAATTACTTCGATTCAATGTAAAGAACGTGAATATAACCTTCAGGAAAAAACAACCCTTTCAAACTTTAGTCCTAATATTTATTGTGGGTAAATTGGTTCAGACAATAGTCTTAGACTCTTGATACCTGGTATTTTTTCGAAAAGAGGGGATGCCCCTCGGCTCTGCATAATGTGATGCACACAGCCTTTCTTGGTACCTGGAATAGAAATTAGTTTTCATCAATAAGGATACCTTTAACCCATATGCTTACATTGATGTACATGTGTTGTGCTTAAGGCATAAAGTTGTCCATTTAGAATGCTTCAAACGAACTGTGGAAACACAACCGTCAGAGAGAATCAATGCTTCCGCTACAAAGGAGATGTTAAAAAGTACTCCCTCTGTAAACAAATATAAGACGTTTTAAATCACTAAAGTAGATGGCTGTGTTCATCTTATGATGCAGAGGCCGGGGTAATCCCCTTTTCGAAAAAAAATTCACTAAAGTAGTGACCTAAAATGTCTTACATTTATTTACAGAGGGAGTATCTATTGTGGATTTTTGGCACTATGGGTCACAAATTGGTCATCTTTTACAACTCACAAGTGTTCTTTTTTTCTTTTGCGAATAATTCACAAGTGTGCAACTTTGTCACTTTGTTAGTGCTCATACTTTTGCGCAATACATACTTGTGTGATAAATTTGAAATGTGCAGCCTTGCAACACGGGGTATGTACCCGTGCTCACCTTTGCATTTGTCCGATATGTAATCACTTTATTGAAAAAAGAGAAATGAAGTTTAGCAACTTTTGGGTGTTTAATTGTACAGTGGAGATCATGATCTGTGTATCCCTTTCACTGGAACGGAGGCATGGGTCAGATCATTAGGCTACCGAGTTGTCGATTCATGGCAACCATGGCACTTTGGGGGTCAAGTTGCTGGGTATGATGTTCTACCATTTTTCTCTACAACTGTACATCTTTCTCCTTGATTATTCACCATTCACATATGTTTCTGATTTAGTTATATATCTGCCATCTGATGTGCCAATTGATAGATGACAAGAACTCTGTCTAACATAACTAGCATGCATGTTTTTATCACTATATTTTTTGAAACGGAGGCAAATGTTTTGCCTCGTCTCATTAATTAAGTAGAGTTGCCCGGTCCTTGAGCTGTTTTGGACTCCATGTTAGGATTAATAAAACATTAAAAAAAACATGTATCTGAACTGATTTAAGTTCCCTGCTTTATGCGACTGCAGATATACACAAGGCTATGATCACAATCTCACCTTCCTCACCATAAAGGTATGTAAGCAAGCTTTGAAGTCCATCTGGAGAATGTTGTAGAGACACAAACTTAAATCGACAAGAGTTTATCATATGGCTGAGGTTTTCTGACAAGCACCATGTTTCAGGGATCTGGACACACTGTTCCTGAGTACAAGCCCAAAGAATCGCTGGCATTCTACGCCCACTGGCTGTTTGGACAAAAGATCTAAAATTGATCTAAATGAAACAATCAAATTTTGTAGACATGTATCTTACTCCCTCCGTCTCAAAATAAGTGTTCTCAAGTTTAGTACAACTTTGTATTAAAGTTAGCAAAAATGCTAGACATACAAAGACTTACACGCTTTTACACGCTCCTTCCATCTAACAACCAATCACAAACCTCTTCCCCCCTGATTTTCAAGGGGTGGGCCGCCCCGCTCACCTATTGACCAATCAAGGTTAACCATCCTGTAAAAGCCTGTAAATCGTTTGTACGTGTAGCATTGCCGTAAAGTTAGTACCTGTACAACTTTGTGTTAAGACACTTTTTTCCTAGCTGTTTTTATTGTAGATTTTGATAGACTGTACCTGTACCTGTTTTCAGTGTGAAACCCAATAAACAATCCAAGGCTCTGATAAATTTCCGCGTACATCCTCTTGCTGAGCGTTAGAAACGAACTGTCTTAACACAACCTTTTTTCTACATCCAGAAACACCAGAAAAGCAGGTGAAATAGAAATAAAACTGGACATTAACATTCTATCAGAAAACATTACAGCAGCGACGCAGAAAGCTACTGTAGAAAGAAGTATCATGATGATCTGAGAAACACTAGCAAACAAGGTTTCACCTACAACAACCCATACCGTTCCTCCCAAAAGGACACATTCAGAACGCAGTGAACACAGACAATCACTTGAATTTCAGCAGTGGGTAGCACCTGCTATGGCCATCAGGCACCATGTGGTGATCTGGCAAGCTGTTCATATGGTTTGCCGGCAACAGCAACCACAATGAATCACAAGTCAGTATATATGCGAACTTGAGAATAGACCAAACAGCAGGGTACACTGTTGATTTCAGAGAAAAGCAGCAGCATGCGAACAAAAAAATTACACAAGTGAACCTTCACTGTCTTGTGCAGAATGGATACTTAAAATGACATCAGAAACACACTGAAGTTACTTATTGCAATCATCCTAGCCCAGAAACATTTTCGCTAGAACAAGTTCATTTACGGAAGGTATCCATGTCGGAGCAAAACAGCAGAGCCATCCCCAGTAGGCTATCAGCAACTTGTCACTGCAACCCACACACACATCAACACTACAGTAGCTCCATGTCAGCTGCAGTGGCTGAACCGTTGGCGTAAACAGGGTGGAGAGTGTGCCCAGCTACAGGTTCAACATGAATCCATTTCCTGCCAGTCAGCTTATTCCGCTCAAACCGCACATGGCCTTCCTTCAGAGAGAAGATAGTGTGATCCTTCCCCATGCCAACATAGTTCCCAGGATGGAAGCGGGTTCCTCTTTGTCGTACGATGATGTTTCCTGGTTCCACTTTCTGGAAAAATAAAACTAGTATAAACGTCGGAGAGCAGTATGAGATAATTTTCCCTTTTTTGGCTATAATAATGAGATAGCACAGCGACTACCAATGTCACAATGTATGGTATGATTAAAGCAGATGCCAAAATATCAGTATTAGCTATTTTCATGTCATTTAGGAAATTATTCAGCTAATCTGGTTCAAGGCCATGAACAAGAAGAAACATCAAAACCATAAGGAGCACTTGAAGATGGTACCTCTCCACCAAATTTCTTAACACCCAGATACTTGGGGTTAGAGTCACGGCCATTTTTCGTTGACCCAGCAGTCTTTTTTGTGGCCCAACGCCTAAAGACCAAGCTCATTCCTCCAGATGTCTCTGGAATTAAGTACATACAAAATAAGATCAGGCCACCTGTTCAGAAAAGGAAGAAGATACAAATTCTAAGCTTCGATGTCACAGATTGCCTACTAAAGCCTAAGCTCATCACCTGTTGAGCTAGTGTAGACCGGAACATTTGAGATCAATTCTTTGATGTTTACTCTCCTGAAAACTGATGAGAGGGCCATCTTGCTTGCGACAGTTTACCTGTAATCACTATAAGGATTCTCTCAAATATAGATATTAATACTGTACTATAACAAAAAACAAATTATACTCATGCATTGTGCCTCTTTCTGCATTCCGTGGTGATTGGTTTTTACATTACGTTGATCTACTTTACTAAGCTGGAGAGTCAACGCATAAATGTCCAAAAGGCCTTCACTAAGCTATGTTCTGATATGTTAGTACTTTTGGTGAGGGGAATTAACCGAACAGAAATAGTATTTTGGACATTTGAGATACTGAGACGAGATCAAAATACAGTACGGGGGCGGGGGCACAAGCACGGGAGGCAGCAATAGCAGCGGCAGAAGGCAGCAAGCAATTGAGGAGGGGGGAAGACCGAGGAGCCATGGCCAGGGTAGATACCTTGCTTGCGGACGGGGGAAGAGCTGAGGCGACGGGCGATGGAGGCGGCTCCCGGCGGCGGCGGCGTGCTCTTGCACAGATGTGTCGAGGGAATGGATCGTCGCCTTGGTGGAGCGAGACGAGGACTAGACCTCGTTGGCAATCCTAAGTGGGCCGGTCATGGCGCAGCCCATTTATTCATATTTTTTCTTAATTTTTTGGAAACATTTTTTTGTCTAACATGTTTTTAGAAAAAGTATGTTTATAATTATTCGTAAGCGTAATATGTTGGAACATTTCAAGAAAAATGTTGGAATATTTTATTTCAAGCAATCTGTAGGTCATGTTTGATAGCAAAGTATTTTCTTATTGTTATGAGAATACTACAGTTTTTTTGGATACCAATAGTTTTATTTACTTACTAAAATTATGTTATTAAAACTAGAGTACTTACAAAAACTATGGTAATTTCTCTGTATAAAAGATAGAACCCTGGATTTTTTTTTAACGGAGCAAGCTTATGGCGCCACAATATTTTCAGATATCGCGCAAGAATGATCTCCCACAAGGCCACGACATAACAGCATCGTTGAAGCCCCTGTTTTGTTTTCCCCGAGACTACCAAAGACAAGCAATATATGGTCGTGCCCGTGCGTCGACATCGGGGCCTCCGGGCATCATGTGGCTTTGAAACACACACGAAATGAAAGAAAATCACGGGTGCCGCTCGGAGCATCCTAATCCGTCTCTCTCCTAAGTCTATGGCGTATGTAAGAGCATCTCTAGACCCTGTATAATGCAAACCCGCAAAACGTGTTTACAGTTCGCGAAAAAACGGCTTTGTGGGCCGGCGCGGGCGGCCGCAGAGTCAGACCTCGCAAACGGACCCGTATAAAAGAATATTCACAGAAGATGCTCTTTTACGGGTCGGCTACCCGGGTCTACTCGGGCACCGCCGCGTCGACCCGCAAACCGAAAACCCCCAATAGGTAAATTTGACAGCGATTCCGACAAATAAGTTCAAATTCAAACGATAAAACATAGTTCACGCGTAAATAAAAGCATAGTTTTGTAGGACAAATGCAAAAGGACTTCCAAAAGCGACGACCATGTCATTGATCATCTTGGTCGCTCTTCACTCGCACTACTTCCATCGAAGTCATCGGCGCCCTCGAATCCATCGCCGGCGCTTGTTCCAACTCCAGCACCGAAATCACCGGCGGGCGCACTGAATGCATCGCGGTATTGGTTCAAAACCCCGATGAGAAAACATCGACGACACTGTAACACGCACCGGCCGACGCAAGCATCCTCCTTTTCAAGATGTCCCTCCTTGCCATATCATGCCACTCTTTGGTGATATCGTCCATGTCATTACGGTTCAATGTCATGATCCTATTCTCTTCGGTAAGAAGCTTGGACATGGCTTTCTTCTCAGCGGCACGTGCTCTTCTCTCCTCAATGGCCGCCTTGCGCAACCCCTCGTCCTTGAGCAATTGCCACTTCTCTTGCTTCTCCCGTGCCTTCTTCTCGGTCAACACTTTCTTTGTCTCCAATGTCTTCGCTAACATCAACTCATTTGATTGCACCATGGCATCTATCTTGTCCCGCAAACTCGAAGCGTTGTGTTCCCTCTTGATCTTCTCCTTTGTCTTCTTGTCACTATCGGGCTTGTTCAAGTTTCTTGGGCCATCATCATCTTGATCTTCATCCATGTTCGTAAGTGAACCTCTCTTCGGTGGGGATTCCCTGTCAATCAACTTCCACTTCTCGCACTCTTTGAGCATATCCCAACAATGCTCTAGCTTAAATTTTTTGCCTTTGGAAGCTTCCATGTCTTTGTATCTTTGTTGGACAATTTTGTTCTACACAAGTTAAACAAAGTCAAATGATGCAATCACTTCATATGATGCAAAATGACATGCACAATTTGGGACGTGAAAACGAACTCACACAGTCGGATGCCACGGTTCCACTTGGAGGTGCATTGCGTACTTGTTCCAAGCAAGCTGGCCAATGGTTGCAAATCGGCTTGATCACGTCCCAATGCCCTTGGAGTGGCCGAAAGGTCCGTGGTGTCCTATTGGGATGCTTGGCCATTATGCGGAAGTATTGATCTTCGATTCTTTGACAATATCTCCTGGAGGTTTGAGATGTACCCGTGCAGGCATCAAGAGACACCACACTCCAAGCCTTGATCAAGTTTTGATCTTCCAAGATCATGTAGTTCTTCGATCTCATGTTTTTTTTGCTTGCGCTTCCTCATACGCCCCCCATCTACCTCCTCCACTTCATCTTCACCACCATGATCATCCACGCCACCCTCCATTTCATTACAATTTAAATCAACGAATGGGGCCCTATCGATGTCGACGGTGTTGGTGTCCAACAAGTTCACGAACTCGACAGTGGCATTGTTCAAACCATCGCTACATTGAGAGACATCAAGTCAAGAACAACCACAATGCCGAAAAGCGAAGCAAGAACAAGAGATCAAAGATGCATACCTTCCGGTCATTTCATCGAATACCTCGCTTGCGGTGGAAGCAGCGTCGTTAAACGACATCGTCGGGGAATATCTCGCCGTGGCGGAGGGAGTGGACGAAGTGCCGACCTTTTTGTAGGAACCTTCTTCCGCTTCACGCCTGAAACCTTGCTCACCTTCTCCGCCGGTGGGCGGGAAGATCGCGCGGTAGTAGCGGCACCCGGCGCACGCGCCTTTCCGGC